CACACTCCAACACAGAGAAACAGACATCTCACAGCAGCAGATTGTTCTCAGCTATTAGTCGATTAATTGGTTTGCAGATGGACATAAAATAATTCAACTATTTTGATAATTGACTGTTTCTTGGACTTCAACGTCAACGTGGACTCTGGAGAGGCCGGATTAACACGAGAGGAGACCCCCTGAGGCAGAAATGAGCCATGAAGCGTGTCAGAGTATAATCAGTTCTTACTGGAGGAAAATTCTCAGTGACTCTAACTTGGTGCGACTTTAAGGCCTCTGACGAATTTTATTAACCTTCTTAATTTAGGAAATAACTTTCTATCTCTGGTGATATTTAAATGAGCTCCAGAGTTCATCGATGACAGTGAGGTCATTAAAAGATATATTTTTTTTTACTCTGTGCAAGATGCAAAAGGAAGATCTGGCTCTTCGCAAACAAACTAAATCCTGACAGCAACAGAGAGAATTCAACTTAACCAACAATTCAAGCAGTTCGAACCAAACTTTTATAGTTTGGTTCGTACCAAACACCTACAGCTTTCAGACAACGCTTCCTCAAGCTCCTTCATCAAAATGATGATTCATTATTTATTGCAGCTATTATTATATTTGATTCCCTAACACAGGGCCAGGGTTCAAGTCCTGAGTGCTGCATGTGGTTTAGTTTAGATTAAACGCTTTGAGTCGTCTAAACAGAACCGTAAAAACCTTCATCGTACAAGTATCAGAAATGCTGCCCATCCCTGATTGTAACTGTAATTATTACCGCTCTAGGGCAGATGACAGCCATTTTGGATTTCCTGGAGTTCAGGTTTTTTACCTTAAAATGAATCATTTCAAAGAGGACGCCTTTAGGGAGTTAAGAGTTTATGTTCCCTTTTACTTTTTATTTCTGGAACTGTTCTCTAATCTGTGACAGATTACTGGGAAATGTACTTCTTTGTTACGGAAAAAAACTAGTTTGTTTATCATTTGTTGGTGGTTTCTTTATTGGGAAATATTAGATTTTACTATATTTCCAGAAGATGCAAAGGATATTTGTTCAAGAAAGAATATTTTTGTGAATAATAAACTGTGATTTCCAATGATTGTTACAAGAGAATAAAACAATCACAGGTATAATTTCAATACCGATACGTACATATGTCCCTCACAAGTGTGACTAAACTTTTGACGGCAACTTTAAGTTGTCAGATATTTTCAGTTTCAACTTGTTGCATCTTTTGCAGATATGTTCATAAAAAAACATTTCTTTAAACAATAATTCAGATTTGTAGAATATAAACTAAATTTCTAGAAGACAGGCTTGATAATCAACCGGATTTGAATGAATAAAAAACTGTATCCTACATAGTGCACACAGAGGGGACGTTAATTGGGGACCCAGCAGCTATTATTTTCTCCAGGGCCACTGAGCAGTTCAGACCGGCCCTGAATAACAAACACAGCTGGTCTCATTCATCAGACAGAACATCTGTTAGTACCAGTGTTAGTTAGTGCCACTACTACTAACTAGTAACTAGTACTAACTACCTTAACCTCTGTCAGTACTGACCTCCTCCAGCAGGTAGACGGTGTTCCTGCAGCTGATCATCTTGGAGGTGAAGGAGGAGGTGGTGGGCGAGCTCCAGTCCTCCTGAACCTCCTGCAAGAAGTCGGACACCGACACGCACTCCGGCATGGTGCTCCTCAACCCGGGACACACCGGGACAGAACCGGGACAGTCTAACAGAGGTCCTGAAAGATCAATTCCACACAAAAGACCGAGGAAACCGGACGAGGATCTATAATGATGAATAATAAAATAATGTTAATTCAATAATCCTATTCAAATGTGAAATAATCCCATCAGCGCTGTATTCACAGTCCCGTGAAGAGATATGATCATTAACAGGCTGATTAAAAAAAAAAACGGTAATTAAAGACCTGATCCGGTGATTCTTCCGTCAGTGTGACTTCACCGTGAACAGCAGCATCAGCCGCTTCTTGCTCCGAACAAAAGGTGGTAAAAAAATCCAACAGGAAATAAACCCGATCCGCGCCGGTTCTGCAGAAACCTAGAAATATTAAGACGGTCCCGGGTCATTAGCGTGTTAAAAACCACCGAGTCTCTCCCCGGTAGAGCCGCTTCATTCAGAGAGACACCCACAAACCCGCCCGGGTCCCTCCGTGCGTGAACCGGCTGACAAAGAACGGAGCAGCTGAGCGGAGAACCGGAACCTCTGGACACCGGGACCGGCTTCAGATGAGGGAATCAAACCGGTCTCTGCTCTCCGCTCCAGAAACAGCTTCAAGCCTTTTCATCATCAGCTGATTTTTTTTTTTCCTGCTTTTTCCTTCTTTATTCAAACCGCATGGAGAGGCGCGTTCACGGTGCGCGGCGGCGGCGACGGTGCTCTCTGCCGCGGGAGCGCGCCCTGCTGACCGTAATCCCCGTTACACCGGTGTCTATTTAGTTCATGTCATACCTGCTGACAGTGAGTGAAAACAGGGTTCCACTGTAAATGTTCTAAACCACCTTCAAATTTTACTTTTTTTACAATAACAATGAAAGAAAAGATAAACACAAAAATAGGAAAGAAATCTCCATTTAGGGTTTTATTAAGAGACTCTTTAAAGAATAAAGCCTCGGATATACTTTAGGACGGTCACATGAAAATGAGTTGATGAAGAACCGTGAAGGGGGAAACGTTGGGATATTTTATACTCTCTAACCGACATTCACAAAGCTCCTCAAAGTTCTCCATTTTCTCCGTCAGCGTTCACCTTGTTAGAAAATGTTATATGTGCCCGAACAGTCATCAATCTTCATGGATGTGTGCAGCATGGATCACGCTTTAGGCCCAATTCCCATCCAGTCCCTACTCCCTCTCACTCCGTGACGGGGTAAACACTGTAGTCACACTCACAGCTGAATGAAGCACCCTTCTTCAAGGTGTACGTACATACATATATACATATATTCATACAGCGGAAAGTTTTCGGGACAAACTATCCTGTCTGACTGTGACCAACCTAAGGCTCTGGGAAAAAATAAAACTCCCAAGCATCTTTGGTGGCATTTCTTTTGTTTTGTAAACCTCTTCTCTGAACGGAGTAATGTAGACCGAACCAGTGGGAGGCTGTAGGGGCCGGACTGGAACTGGGCCTAAAAGTCGAGACCAATGCAAGCAGCTTTGTGAAGCCTACTTAGCCACAGCATCGCTACGAGCTAAATGCTGAAGTGAGCATGCTCACAACGACAACGCTTACATGCTAAGCAGGTATAATGTTCGCCTTCTTACTTTAGCGTGTTAACGTTTGCTGATAAGCATTAAATAATGCAGAGCTGAGGTTTCAGGGAATGCTGTTAGTTTTTCAGGTTTTGGGACATAAATCAAAGTATCGTACAAATAAGAATAAAGTTGAATTACTTTAGTTACTTGATGAAAAGCTCACTTAACCAATTAGAAATCATTTTGTGGGAAAATTTCACAGCAACTCATCCAACAGTTGTTGAGACATTTCACACAAACCCACAAATGTGAACCTCATGGTGGCGCTTGAGGAAAAGGTTCGGAGGATCACCACGGTCCGTGTGGTTCATCCTCTGGGGACCGTGCATGTCAGTACCAAATGTCTCGGCAGTCAATCCAGCAGTTGTTGAGATATCTTAGATTTTAGTTTAGACCAGTGTGGTGTAAAATAACCACCAGTGTTTGTGGCACAAACTGAACCTCGTTCTGGTCGTCTGACATCACTTCCCTTCTGGTCTCCGAACCTTCTGGTCGACGAACCAAAGTTTGTCTCAACATGATCCGACATCATCAGAGTCTCACAGGAAACAATCAGAGCGAGACTCTGTAAACACGTTGTTTCCTGTTGAGCAGCCTGAAGACGAGGTTGAAGGCTGACTTTTATTTCACTCCCCTCATCTTTATAAATCAAACTGTGTTGACCCATTATTTATATTTAATTATCTCAACAGGAGAAAACTGTTTTCTGAAGAAAGAGTCACTTCCTGTGGTCGTTTGTATATTTCTTGGCTCAGGATGCTGATGTGACCTGGAGTCCACAGACTCGTATCTCATTATCTACTTTGCCATGAGATTTCCTGATCGCATTCCTGCTCTCCAGAGGATGATCCCTCTAGGTTTGAATGACCACATGACTTTTCCTCTAGCGCCACCCTCAGGACAAACATTACATTTTTAGAACAGCTAAATCATCAGGATGTTTGTTCATTGTCTGTAATGAGCACTTTATATATATATAACAAAGTGGTACAAATGAGTAATATCAGCTTCAGATCTGAGTCAGTGCAAAATTCAACCAAAAAAGAGAATGTACTTATTTATTTTATTTACCTTCAAAATATAAAATTTGAAACTACAACTATATTTAATCAATACAATTAGACTTTTATACAACAGCGTTATGTTTATGTTTAGGAAAGGTGCTGATTTATCCACTCAGACATATCATTTACATAATAATAAATATGTGATTTAAATCTGCAGTAATAGGTGTCCAGTAATATCTTCTTGTGACGGATTAAAACAAAAAATCCCTGATTTTTACTCCCATGACCCAGGATGTGTTTATATAAATGAGGATGCTGGGTAATGTAGTGCAGAGAATCACTCATTGCAACAACTAACCTGATTCTCATGTATTACTGCTTGACAGATCATTTATGCTACTGCCCACTGACATGGTTTCTAAGCTAATTGTCGCCAATATTTGCTCTCCAAATACACATGTTTAGATCAATTAAAGGCAATTAAAAGCATTTTTTGGTAAACTCAGTTTTTAGACCTCAGTATTTCTAAAACCCTGCATACGACCAGTGTCAACATATAAAATCAAGAGTTTTACTGATCAGCCTTCGTAGTAAATATGACTTTAATCAGCCGTTAAGTGGATCAGTTCAGGATCAGAAGCCTGAGACAGTCTGTGACATTCAGGAGGAGGTGATGAAGATTTCTTCACCCTTTGATGATGAGGGAGGAGATCTGCTGTGGCAGCGTGTAGACGATGAGGGCGAGGAAGAGCGTGAGGATGGCGAGGATGACCAGAGCAATGATGAACTTCTTGAACTTCTTCCAGATGAGGAAGATGAAGGTCTTCATCGGGTTGACGAACCAGGTGAAGCTGGTGGAGGGACGACTAGAGGGAGGACAGGAGACGGTACATTTTGGGGGGGATTTGACTCACTTTGACACTAAAACGGAATTTTTTCAGACAAATAAATCCTGAGAAAGTAAACTTTGAGACCTTTCTCTGTCTCAACAACACAGATCTTAAAACTGACAACTGACTGTTAGCTGTGTTAATATCTAATGTTAGCAAAAGAAAATACAGAATATAAATAGAATCTGCTTTCATCCATCCACACGACGTTAGCCACATTTCCAAACGAGGCGGAAGGAGAAGCGAAAACGTCATGACCCTTAGGAGACACTTAGGAGATAGGAAGTGTTTACCATTTCAGACCATTGGCAGAGCTTGTAATGTGGCATCTGTGTTATAGAGCATCTTTGCCTTTAAGTATAAAATCTGAGCACTTCTTCCTCCAATGCAAACACGTCTTTTGTGTCTGCTCGCTAGCTCAGAGAGCTTTTCTTCCCCCTCTTCAGTATCTCTTTGTTGACTGAAAAGATGTAAAATCCTGAGAATAAAACACCAGAAGGGAGCAAACAGCAGAGAAAGAAGAAGCTTGGAGAGCTTGCATGTTCCCAGCTCGTTAGCGTGATAGCCGTTAGCTGACCAGCTACAGCAGTTTATCAACTAGTGCAGCAGTCACTACGTCACCAAGAACCACATATTTCACAAAGACGCTTTCCCTCTTTCTGGTGTGAAAAAAATGCAAGATCCCATCCTTTAACAGTGTGTGTGTGTGTGTGTGTGTGTGTGTGTGTGTGTGTGTGTGTCGTACTTTGGTTTGTCCAGAGGCTCTGGCTCCTTGCGTGCCCGACCCACAGGGTTGCCCTCCGCCTGCTCTAATGCCACCAGCTGCAGCTCCGCCTCCACCTTCCCCTTCACACACACACACGAACACATACAGGGGTTTAAATTAGAGTTAATATTTAACGTCAGTGCTGTAATGGAAGCCTTTCGACAATGACCAGGACAAACAAATAGAACAACCCTCACCTGAACTCTAATGTCTCACATGTTGAGTTCAGTAGAATGTACATTTCTAAAGCATTAAGTAAGTCAAGACTCATTTCATTCCCATTCCGCAGGGACTTTAAAAGCAAATTTATATTTGCTGTGTCACGGCTTTGTCGTGCAGCATTCGCGTTATTAATATATTGTATATTTTTTGTACCATTAGCAGGAAAGTGCTGCCGCTGCTGTCAGTGTACTCGATGTCCTCCTTTTTCATGTCACTCCTCTTGTCTTTTGTCTTCTTCTTCTTTCCCTTCTTCTTGGCCTCCTTCTCCTCCCTCTCGAAGTCCTCTGCCGTCTTCAGGCGGGTCAGCGGCCACCAGCCCTTCATCTTCTTGGCGCGAAAGATGGATAACCGAGGGCTGGCCCGCTCCTTCGCCATCTGAATCGTGCATTTACTGGGTGACTTTGCCGCTCGCACCATGTCGTTGAGACGTAGATCTATGGAGCCTGAGGAGGAAGAGGACGTTAGTATCATCATCATTTGCTCTGTAATGTAGAGAGGATACACTGGTGAAGCTGTTGTGTCCCATAATGCACCATGAATCTTGAATAAAAATGCGACGTGAAACATAACTCAGGTCCATGTTAAGGCCACTCTGAAATGTTCAATTTAAAATGTTTTGATTTTATTTGTCCATGTTTGGAGATATGGAGATCTAAGATTTCTGGAGTGAAGTGCCCTTAGAGCTGCTTTTTACGGTGGACCCGAGAGTTCAACGCTCTACAAATTAAAGGAGCAATGTGTAGGATTTAGTAGCATTTAGCACACATGCAAATAAACACAGAAGCAAATTAAGAAAAAACATCTTCGCCGATTTGACAACACATGTGCAGCATTTAGAAAATTGGAGATTGCGCTGAATTTATCAAGACATAAACATGGAGGAAGTGTTTACTTATCATAAGTCTGTTCCAGTAAAGGTAAATATGTGAAATATTTGAGAATTTGTAGTCTAACCCAGGAAGTCGTTGGCAGCGATGCGGTCGTAGTCCCAGACCTGCAGCGTCAGAACAGCCGGCTGTCGAAACTGTGACTCCTCCAGAGAGAAAAAGGACTCCTTCTTCTTAAACACCATCTCTTTCTACGGGACGAGAGGAGCAGATTTACGCTCACTAACAACCAGACTGACTGTTAGCGTCCTCCTAGTGGTCATTACAGCCACATTATGAACACTTATCTATTCTAAAATTGTCGAGTTTTGTCCTGAGGAAAGATCCTGCGGTCATTAAAATCTAAAAGGTTCATCCTCTGGAGAGCAGGGGTGTGATCAGGAAAGGCGACTCTTGCGGTTGCAAAAAGAAGTCTGGTTGTATCGAAGTCTATGAGAAAATGACTCTACTTCTCTCTTGATTTATTACCTCAGTAAACATTGTGAACATGAGTTTATGGTCTCAATCTCTAGTTTCAAGTCTTCTTCAATACAGCATGATGTTCATTTGGTAAATTAATTATCCATTTATTGTAAAAAAGATCATAAAGCAGAGTATGCTTTAGGGCGGGCTTACTGTGATCGACAAGTCACTATCACAGCGTTGTCCGGTCTGTGCGTTCGCCTTGTTTTTGTCTTACACCTTTAACCCTTTCACAGTTTGTTCTCAGTAGTAAAAGTTAATTGTAACATTTTGGTCGCCTAAGAATGTTTGATTCAGCGTTTGGTTGTAATTAGCTCCACCCTCTCGTTTCACTTCTGGTTGCAAAATTCCAAGATGGCGGCTTCAAAATCGCAGACCACAAACCAATGGGTTACGTCGCGGTGACTACAGCCACTTCTTATATACAAATCTATTTGACAATATTCCTGCAGTGGGACTAATAAAGGTTAATCTTATCTTATACAGTCTTTGGGTGTCACCAGCTGTATATGTGTGTGTGTACCTCAGTGGGAAGGTAGTCGAAGCGGAACACAAATCTCCAGTTGAAGTTTCCTTCTCCGGTCAGAGAGTTGAAGTGGACGTCAGTCTCCTGTTTTTCTCCTTCCAGTCCCTTTATCCATCTGCAGAGATCAGAACAGAATAAAACCCCCAGAACGGATTGCAACCGCTGATAGCACCATGACGTTATATCATCCGGGACCGACTCCAGTAATTTTACAACCCTTGTGATTAATCTCGTGTGTGCTCGTGAATCGAACCCTTTCATGTAGATGTCAGAGCTCGGGTCTCCGGTGAACGGGTTGACATCGTCCAGAAACACGTCGTCGGTGTTCCAGATGATCACTCGCAGCTCGTACCTGTCGTCATGGAAACAACAAAGTTTACATCTGTTTTATGTCTACGGGTTACTTATTGTAACTCCTTCTCTACTCTATTCTACTATACTCAAAAGATTAGTTTCCACTCTATTGCACTCTACTGTACTATATAGATTGTATCCGACTCTATGGAGCTCAATAGATTCTATTTGACTCAACTGTATTTGTTAGATTATATTTGACTCTAGTGTACTCAATATATTCTAATCTACTCTACTGTACTATATATAGATTTTATCCAACTCTACAATACTTGATAGATTCTAATCGATTCTGCTGTACTATAGTTTCTATTCTTCTCTACAGTACTATATTAAATTAGCCTCTACTGTACTCGATAGATTCTATTTCCCTCTACTGTACTATATAGATTCTATTGGACTACTGTTGGTGTGTGACCTACTGTTCAGCTAGGCGGGGCTTGATGTCAACAGGAGGCGGAGCCGGGGTATCAGTTGGAAACATGTCAACCCACATATGAAGGTAACCCTGGGACACACACACATTGCTGATGACGTGTAGTAAACCAGTAGAAGTACAACAACAACAGCAACATAACAATTTATTTTTCTTTCTTTTTCATACAGATTACCATATATTTTACATTTCTTTATCGATCACATGAATATGAAACAATGCAAAGGACAGTTTCATTATTAACTGAATTTGTATTGACTGTTCAAAACACAGTGCAGCTGTTTCAAACGCTATTTATGTAACAGTAACCTACTGTACAACCCTGTGTCAAATACACTATGATACAGTCAAGTACTGTATATAAAACCCAGCTTACTGTAGTTCAAAGTACAATTAGTCTATAGACTAATTGTACAATGCAACATAGCATTGACTGAGTTGCGGCGAGGTGCAGCAGTACGTGCTTTGGTAGTTCCGTTAGACAATTACTGTAGTTTTATTTTTTTTTTATCCCCATGTGTTGTCATGTATGAATAGACCCAAAATGAACACTGTATGCGGTGGACTTGATTAAAGCACATTACTTAAACAGCATTTGCATGTAAATGATTCTGTCCTGAGCTTTTTGATTCACTAAAAGCGGTTTCACCATACCTGTGGCAGTCCAGGTTTGTCCTCGTTCAACAGGGACCGGATCTCCACGTGCTCTGGGACCAGAGGAAGGGCTCCGGTGATGAACTCGTTCATCTCCCCCCAGCGCCACAGCACGCTCAGGGCTGAGTGCTCCTCCATCTCTACCTCCTCCTCGGGAGTCCACTGGTTCTTCTTTAACAGACCTGACAACAACAACAACACTCTGGTATAATACAATACTGTTACTGCCGCTGATGCAACTGGAGGTTGCAGAGTATGACGGAAACCCTAGTAGTACTAGTAGTACTGTGTCAGTAGTAGAAGTTGCCTCCTACCTATGACTAGTCTAGTTCTACCTGTCTGTCTGTCTGTGTTAGCTACCTTCAGGTACTGCGTCTGGTGGGATCTTGAAGATTTTGTTGAGTACTTTGACCTCAGACGGTCTGTACTCTGGAGACGGGATGCCGTTGGTCTTGCAGAGCTCAGCCAAAATGGCCGACGGATTCTTCACATCGCGCCATATATTGTAACCCTCACTGTAGAGAGACAGTCAAGTAGAGGGACACACAAATAGACATTTAAAGAAACAGGTACTCTAAATCTACTGACAAAGTATTGAACACATACAGCAGTTCCTGTATTAATATTTCATGTTGATACATTTTCATTTAAAATGTCCTCGTATTGGTTTTATGGTTTCATAGTTCTTGTTCTAACATGTCATACTGTTTGAGCTCTAGTTCTCACATGTTTTAGTTCTGGTACTAGAGTCACAGTTTTGGTAGTAACATGTTATGTTATGTGGCAGAGGTAGTACTAATGTGTTGTAGTTTTAGTACCAATATGTCCTACTATTTGTACTGTCTTGGTTCTATTTTCACATCTCGTAAAACACACACCGTGTCTCATTTTTTAATCATGTCATCGTTCTGGTTCCATCATGTCATCGTTCTGGTGCTCATGTGTGACACTGTTGGTAGTAACGTGTTCTTGTAACTTGTTCTAACACGTTGTAGTTCTGAGACTTTCGTGTTGTAGTTGTGATACTAACGTGTCGTAGTAGAGAGCCAGACCGCAGGTGGCTCTGTGGCGGCTGTAGAATCGGTTCTCTAGGTCGACCCGCGTCTCGCCGATGACGTCATCGGCCCCAATAAGATCGTGGTCCATCACCATGACAACCAACTCTGTCTCCAGCGGGAAGGACACCGTGAATTCAAACACCCTGAAAGACAGTGTGAGACACGCAGTTGGACAGACAGACAGAGAGTGTTGAACAGCTACAGGTAGCTAGACGGGTACTGACTCTCCGAACGTGGGGTTGAGCTGTTTGGGGATGTATCGATCGACGGTGTCCAGACTCTGCTGTCCGGCTCGGACCACCAGATACGGGTCGGCTTTACCGTTCGGGTCTGTGGGAGCCAGAGTGGTGGCCTGCAGGACACAAACAGAGACAGTAGAAGACACAGTAGAATACAAACACTGTAACAACTTTGTTTAAACCTAGTTAACCCATAATGCAGCTGTCGGCAGAGACATTGTGAAAGGCAGAACATTAATTTGGTTGTTTCTGTCATGAAAAGGGTTGATTTTTTCACATGTCAGAAGTCTAATCAACGTTGAAGGCCTTGAATGTAACAACCGTTTAAATGTAATCAGTGTAAAGGAGATTTTATAAAATGTTTGGACGGGTTCAAGTGAGTGAGACAAAGACAGTCTGTGGATGGAAACAGAGAGACAAGTACCTTGACGACGTAGACTCTGACCAAGACATTGAACGGTGAGTTTTTGGGGATTCCCTTGGTGATCTGACAAGTGGTGTGTTCTTCATCTCCTGGATCGATCGGATAAACCAGGAAGGAGCCCTGGAGATGGAGAGTATGGAGTCATGAACACTTCACATCAGAGCTACAAGCAGACAGCTTCCCATCCACAATACCTTGTATTTTCCCATCAGCCTCTCCTCCTCATCCTCATCGTCATCCTCAATGTTTGCTCTGCCTTTATACAGCGGGAAGGTCTGCAGCCTGTCCTGAAACTGACTGAACTCGGACTCCAGGTCGCCTCCATACAGCTGAACATACGAACAGACACAGAGGCAGAAACTTAAAATAATGTAACGTTAGTTCAAATCTGTTCTTTCAACAAACCTTGAAGCACTCTTTCTTCCAAAAAAGGGTTCTTTGGATAAAACGGGTTCTTATTGGACCCCTTAGTCTTACAAAGATAATTTCTTCCAAAAAAAAAAGGGTTCTTCAGAAGGAAACGGTTCTTGGTAGAACCTCCTTCAGGAAGAACCTCTTTGGAAACTCTTATTTTCCCCGATCACACAGAGACACATCGCAACAGGCGCGGCCACTTCAAAAACGCCCCTATGGAAAAGCGAGTCTGTGGAGCGGGGGTGCGTACGGTTGATCAAATGTAAATAATGCAGAAAAATGTATTCAATACAGACATCGAGCTCTTGCTGTTGCTGTGCTGTTGGAGGAGTGAGAACATTATATAGTTCATCGAACTTAATAAAGATCGTTAACATCAATGTCTGTTCTTTCCACATCAAAACGGCATCAAAACAGGAAGTCAGTTGTAAAGTGGTAAAGCTGACAGACTGTAAGCTGTCAATCACAGTGAGCTCTCACCGTTAGTGTGGTAATGTTCTTGCGTTTGGGAGGCTTAACCTCCACCACCACTATTTCCTCCTCCTCATCATCTTCAATATTCGCCATGGTCAGATTAGCCCCATCTGAACAAATACATAAAACACAACTGTTAACATTGTTTTTCATATATTTCTATGCTCATTTTGTAGTATGTCTGTTGTATGGTTCATATATTTGTTTTGGTTCTCTCCTCATGTTTTACCATCTAAAATCTGGTGGAGAGCATTCCCAGAAAAGTGACGGCTCTTAAGGCAGCAGAAGATGCCTTTGGTTTTGGAGTTTCATGTTCAATTATCACATACCAGACACACTACATACAGTACATGGCGACATAGTGTACTTGTGTAATTTGAACACTGATTCTAATTATCTGCCCTCAGACTGACATGAGAAGAATGTAAATGATCACCTGAGAGCTTAGCTTAAACTTTTATTAAAACTACGTGGTTCCTATTCACTTCAGTACAGCCATAGTGTTATGATTTATCACAGCAGCATCTAGTGGACATTAGAGGAACTGCAGCTGAACACACTTCAACTCTGAGACTTATATCAGCTGTGTGTGTTGTTGCTCGAAAATAATTAAAATAATAAATAATTTCATATTTTTACTAAATAGAGAAATATGGCAAAATGGGACTGAAATATTAAAGTAGGAGTTATAACTGTACCGGTCTCAGCTTGTTCCTCCTCCTCGTCCTCAGCAGCCTGCAGAGAGCCAACACATCAGACACGGTGATTAAAGAACTGATTTATAAATTATTTTTAGTCTCTTTTTAGAAAACTGTAAAGAAGTTCAGTTTTAACATTTAGTTTTTTCTTCAACTTCTCATTATTCTGTCTTGTTTCACGTACTAATTGTTGGAAAAGTCCTGAAACAAGTAATATGCAATTTTCTTGTAATCATGAAACTATGAGATAAAGATCTCATAACTACGAGAAAACATCTCCATATTCTTTTTCTTCTTTGTTCTTTTGTGAATGCGGATACTGACCTGAGATCAAATTGATTTATCTCATCATATTCGCTGATTTCTTTTATCTAATTTCTCTTCAGACTTTTTGCACATTGGAAGTAGGTAGTTCTTTATGCTACATGCATTTTACCTCATTCATAAAGTTACCTCTCTAATTTATCCTGTATGTATTCCTGCATTAATGTTTTTAACACATTTATTCAGACAGACAGGTAAATAAGTGTCTCACCTGTCTCTCCATCTCCTCCAGTGAAGCGTAGTATTTCGACCACCAATCCAACTCCTCCTTCTCTGGTGTCTCCTCCTCCAGCTCCTCAACCGTCTCAATCATCTTCTTCAGAGGAGCCTGAAGGGGTTTGAGTGTAAACATCAGCTCATTCTTTAATCCTTTATGGTTGAATCTGGTTGAATCTCTTTTTTTCACAGAGAAGATTAATATACGTACATTAACCAGCTTGATGGGGTTGAAGGGAATCTTTGACTGTTTAATTGACAGGCCGCTGAGTCCGATGTTCTTCACTGACATCAGAGGCTTAAGCTTCTTCGTATTCTCCCTCACTGGAGAGACACAGAGAAATCTGTCCATTAAAACTACGAATCCCAGAGAGCATGGTTGTGAGAAACATCACAGAGCTTCTCAGTTATGTGACTGACAGCGTGATGAAGTGACAGATTGATCTTTGTAGGACACATTGGAGGTTTTCAAAACAATTCACATGTGGATTTGGCTCAGTGGTAGAGCAGGGTCGTCCTTCAATCAGACAATTAAAATAACCCCAATTAGCCCCCGCAGGCTGTTTCTGCAGTTTGTGAAAGTGTATGAATGATTATACAGTTCTGATGCCTCTGCCATCAGTGTATAAATGGGTGTGAATGGGTGAATGATGATATGTAGTGTTAAAGTCCTTTAAAAGGCTCTATACAAGTACAGTGCATTTACCATTTTACCACTATTATCGTGAATACCATCATAGCTCTTACCTTTTGTTTTTGGTTCATCATCTTCCTCTTCTTGCTCCCCCCCGAGCTGGCGCGGGGCGTAGTCTATGAGGCTCTGGACCACGTGGGTCCCGACCAGAGCGAGTCGACCGAATGCCCGATGCTCCACCACAAACAGTGTCAGAGGAGGGTGGAGGTAGGCCTGCTCCGGCAGCTCCTGATTGGACCAAACACAGGAAGATGAAACAGAAGGTTAACCATGTCTCTACTCCATATGCATGCAATGGATATTCACCAGGTGTGTCCTGCAATTGAGTAAAGGTATTTCTTTAAGCCAAATCTGTGGACTTCAGCGGCCATAACTAGAAACTGACCACGTTGATATAGCGGACCAGCTCTTTGAAGTTGGAGTGAGTCTTGTAGCTCTCGATCTCTTCAGACTCCAGCTGTTCTCCTGCACACTCCACCCTCACCAGGGGGCGCTCCACCTCAAACAGCTGCACCCGCTTCAGCTCCCGCAGACCCCAGAACAGCACCTGAACAAACACACAGGTAGGACCCAGTTACTTCACACACCCAACAGCCTGATGTCCCGAGCATGCATGTCACACAGAGTGATTGTGTGTGTGTGTGTGTGTGTGTGTGTGTGTGTGTGTGTGTGTGTGT